CAAAAAAAAAAAAAAAAGGAAAAACAAAAAACAAAAAAAGAACATGCTGGGATTCCTTGATAGGGTCATGAAGCAAACTGAATGTGAATGACAGATGGAAATCTGCAGGACAGTCATTCCAAGCAGAATGTGCAAAGACTCAGAGTCCAGAGTGAATGCCAAGTGCCAGGGCTAGTCTCGGGAGAAACTGGCAAAAAGAGACAGCATTCAGGGAGGGCTACAGGCTAGAAAGGGACCAGACAGTGGAAGACTCTGAAGGCCAAACCCAGGAGTTCTGCCTGTCTGACAGGCAGTGGAGCCTCTGGAGTTTCTTGGGTAAAGAGTGGCTGCTTCCCAAGTAAGGTGGCCTGTGAAGAATCTCTGACAATTGTGTGGATGTCATGAGAAATGGCAGGGAGGATAGCGAACTAGGCTTGGAGTTTGGAATCAGGGCCCTTGGGGTCCGGCCAAGTTGGATTGTTTACTATCAAAATGCCTTTGAGAGTCACTTCACCTTTCCCATCTGTAAAGTGGGGATAGCAACAGTGATAGCCGATCTGGCCTGCTCACGTCTCAGCCTCGCAGTGAGAACCAAATAAGATGATTTACGGGAAAGTGCAAATGAGAGTTGTGGCTGATATCCACCCTCAGAGAGCCTGGAGGGTGCATCCTCCCATTCTCCATCAGAGTTGGGGAGGGAGACTCTCAGGACCCATTTCCATAGCACCCTGCCTGGCCCTCCAAGGGTTTCCTTTGTCCAACCCAGCCTCCTCCAACACGCGGGCATTATCAGGCCTGGCGACTTCATACCGGAAACGCTGTCCAAGTTCCCCTTCTTTCCCGCCTCGCCCCCCGGCTGGCGCTAACGCCTACCTCCCAACAGCGCCATCCGCTGGCGGATATCCTGCACCGCCAATGCCCGCTCCTGCGCCGCTGGCTGCGCCGGCGCTGCGTGGTATGCCAGGCGCCCGAGACACCCGAGTCCTACGTGTGCCCGACGCTGGACTGCCAGGCCGTGTACTGCTGGTCGTGCTGGGGTGACATGCGGCAGCGGTGCCCGGTCTGCACGCCCCGCGAGGAGCTCTCCTCCTCCGCCTTTAGTGACAGCGACGACGACACTGCCTACGCGAGGTGAAGAGGCGTCCTGCTCGCTCTCCCGCCCCGTCCTTCCCTGTTAATAAAATGCTCTGTACGCTTCACGTGGGTCGGGGACTGGGGTGAGCCGCGAGCTGCCTCGCCGGCAGTCGGGGGAGCCCGCCCGCCCGACCGCCCCAGAGCCCGGCCGAGCACAGGAGGCAGGGAGGCCGCGAAGCTACTAGGGAAGGGTCCGGACCTGGGGCCGGGTGAAGGCGCGCCGCCCAAGCCGGTCGGATCCTGCCCAGGCTTCCACCCTGCGCACTTGCGGGAAAGCTGCGGAACCGAGCAGCGCGGACAGAGCCGGCGTCGTGGGCGGGATCCCGACTCCCGAGGCACCGGGCGCGCGGCGGGGCGGGCCTTGCCGAGGGCGGAGCCTGGCTCGGGGCCGGGTGGGAGGGGGCGGGCCGGGGCGGGGCCTGGTGGCTGCGCGGCGCTGCTGGGTGCTCTGAGGCGACCCGACCGCCGGCCGCTCCTCCGCGCGCTGTCCCGCACCTGCTGCCCTTGCCCGGCCCGCGGCGCCGCTGCCATGCGGCTGGCGCTGCTCTGGGCCCTGGGACTCCTCGGCGCGGGCAGCCCTTGGCCTTCCTGGCCTCTCCCAAATATAGGTGAGTCCTCGGCCTGGAGTGGGTCGGGAGGCGGACTGGGAGGAGGTGCAGGGAAGTCGGAAGGCATTAGGGTAGTGGGGCGGGACAGAGACCCTAGGAGAGCCCCGCCAGAGCGCGGCCCGCCCTGGTCCGCTGTCCTGGGCCTAGGGCCTGGTGACTTGGCGATGGAATGGAGAGGGAAGGAGGGGGGATGCCGGCGGCCCCCCCCGACCCCTCCTGCCTGGTCATCCTCCGCGCGGTCCCTGCGGACACTTTCAGGTTCAGGTACCAGGTACCGAAGGGCCTGGCCGGCGCCACTTCAAGATCGTGGTGAGAGGGTCGCTGCTCCCCAGGACTGACATCTTCACTCCTCTGGGGCCTAGCTAACCGTTCCACCCAGTGCCAGGGCACTGAGCGGGCATGGCTTGTAGGGTTTAGTGAAGAGGATTCTCTAGTCCTTATTTTGGGCCTGGGGCCGCCAGGCACGCCTCACCCTGGTGCTGTTGTCACCAGTGCCTGGCCTAGCGGGAGGGGTCTGGGAGGAGCGGGGAGAAAGGAGAATTGGCCGGGAAAGAGGCTGGACGCCAACTCCTCCTTGCAACTTTCACTTCCCGCTGCTGTCTTGGGCCGGGGACTGAGAGGGCAGGCGCGGGTGGAGCGTCCGGAGGAGAGAGGGCCATTGTGTGTGGGGGGGTGAAGCGGAGGCTGTGGGCAGCGGGTGTGCCTGACTGGGCATGAGGGTGTTTAGGGAGGTGGGGGTGTTTGCACTGCACACCCAGAAATGGGCGTTCCTGGCATCTCGATGTGAGCAAAGGGGAGGGTGAGCGGGCACCCAGCCACAAGGCTTAGCTGTCTCGAGGGGGCATTCCAGGGGTAAGGGGTGAAGAGTGATTGGGAGGGAGTGGGAGCAGGGGAGGGTTCCTGTGAGAACCTGGCATTGGCCGGAGGGGGACAAGGAGGGCCACAGGCTGAGCAAGCCGAAAGTCTTTCTTGGGAACTAGTGGATGGCGAGATGGGTGGAAAGCCATAAATTGGAGAGACACCCCATCTTCCAGTAGTCTCCTTGAAGTCCCAGCATGCAATGCAGAAGTCCCTCAGGTACCTAAGCGCCTTGATGGGCACCTGCCACCCCAAGCCCTGGTGTCTATTCCCTCAGTACTATCTTGGGGTGTCCTGGGACCTGCAGGTGGCACCAAGGAGCAGCAGGCAAGGTCAGAGAAGGCCCCAAGTGGGCCCTTGGAGCCCCAGGTCCTTCAGGACGACCTCCCAAATAGCCTCGAAGAGGTGCTTCAGGTGAGATCACACTCCCCTCTAATTAATAAATGAATCCACATACACGCCCCAACATAGTCAGGTGTCTCAAGGCCAAAACTTGGTTGAGGAGCTGGTGGGTAGAGCTTGCTGTAGTGGGTCTATCCCAGGCCCAGCTGCTTTTCCCACCACACCCCAGCACCTGGCTTCACTTATCTCCCCCGCCCTCTGCACACACATCTGTCTGCCTCAGCCCCACCCAACCCATCCATCTCCACTGGGGAAATTCTGCAGCCAAACTTGCTTTCTTTATCTCATGTCGTTGGTTTTATCGGGGGGTTTTCCTGATTTGGAAAGAATCAGGACATTACCAAACCACCCCCCCGCAACCCATTCTAAAGCTGAGTCAGAGGAAGGGCTGGGGCTTGTGCTGGGTCCTCCACGATGCTTCCTCTCTGGGCAGGAAGCCGAGAAGGGGCGGCTCAGATACCTTCCTTGACCTCCCCACACAACCCCCCAGAACAATGCTCCAGGCCAGGCAGGGCTTCCTGGCCCCTCCCCTGGGATCCCCCCCACCAGTGATCTAATTGCTGCTGCTCTCCTGAGGCCTGAGGTTTTCTGGTTACAGGGGTTGGGAGTTGTTGGCAGGTCTAGGGAGGTGACCTGCCCTCTGGTGCCCACAGAGCAGTCTGCCTGAGCCCCTGAGGATCAAGCTGGAGCTGGATGGTGACAGTCATATCCTGGAGCTGCTACAGAATAGGTAATAGTGATGGTGGCAGTAATAGTGACCACAGGGCCAACAGCTTGTATAGCATTTATTATGTGCCAGGTACTAAGTGCATGCATTCATTTAATCCTCATAAAAATCCTGAAAAGGAGATACTATTATATATTATCATTCTCATTTTATATATGAGGAAGTCAAGGCACAGAGAGGTTAAATAACTCACCCAAGGTCACACAGCTAGTATGTGCTGAAAACCAGATTGGAATTCAGATAAACATAGTCAGTGGCCCAACCAGTATACTTTGCCGCCCCGGGGTGGGGGATTAGAAAGGTTGGCTGGGCGGTGGCCTGGTCTCCGGCCCCTCACTACCTCCAGGCCTCCACTTGTCAATGCACAGCCTGGGAAGTGGCTCAAGCACTGCCCTCTTTTTCTTCACTCCACAGGGAGTTGGTCCCAGGCCGCCCAGCCCTGGTGTGGTACCAGCCCAATGGCACTCGGGTGGTCAGTGAGGGACATACTCTGGTGAGTCAGGTCCTCTTGTGCCATTTTTGGCTTCGGGGGAAGAGGGAGGGAGTGACTGGAGGGTGAGAGGACATTGCATATTTTTGCCATCAAGCTAGACTCCTCAGTTCCAGTCCTAGTCTACTCTCTGAGACAGTGCTAATGTTGTTTCTGTGCTGTAGGAGAACTGCTGCTACCAGGGAAGGGTGCAGGGATACGCAGGCTCGTGGGTGTCCGTCTGTACCTGCTCTGGGCTCAGGTATACTGGGCGGATCTGATGACAGTAGAGAAAGTAAGGGGACCCAGGCATGGAGCTGAAATGTTCTCTGACTTCCTTTCTCTTTCCTTAGAGGCTTGGTGGTCCTGTCCCCAGAGAGAAGCTATATCCTGGAGCAGGGGCCTGGGGACCTTCCAGGTCCTCCCATTATTTCCCGAATCCAAGATCTCCACCTGCCAGGCCACACCTGTACCCTGAGCTGGCAGGAATCTGTGCACACACAGACTCCACCAGAGCTCCCCCTGGGACAGCGCCACGTTCACCGGGTGAGGATGAATGGCAGAGGGGCTGGCCTTCAGTTGTCTTGAGGGCTGACCCCAGACACTCTCAGCTATGTGTTCACAGTACAATAGCTCCTGCTAATGGGGCAATTTCCATATGCCAGGAACTTTGTGAGCATTAGCTTGTGTACTCCTCCCATACCTAGGAGGTAGGTGCTATCAATTGCTCGATTTTTTTTTTTTTTTTTTTTAGAAGGAGTTTTGCTCTTGTCTCCCAGGCTAGAGTACAATGGTGTGATCTCAGCTCACTGCAACCTCTTCCTCCCAGGTTCAAGCAATTCTCCTGCCTCAGCCTTCCGAGTAGCTGGGATTACAGGCACATGCCACCATGCCTGGCTAATTTTTGTATTTTTAGTAGAGACGGGGTTTTGCTATGTTGACCAGGCTAGTCTCAAACTCCTGACTTCAGGTGATCCACCCGCCTTAGCCTCCCAAAGTGCTGGGATTACAGGCATGAGCCACCATACCCATCCTAATAGCTCTATTTTAAAAGGAGGAAACCTTATAAAAAGTATCCAGGCATGGTGGTGTGCACCTGTAGTCCCAGCCACTTGGGAGGCTGAGGTGGAAGAATCGCTTGAGCCCAGATGGCAGAGGTTGCAGTGAGCCAAGACTGAGCCACTACACACCACCCTGGGTGACAGTGAGACCTAGTCTCGAAAAATAAAATAAAATAAAATGAGGAAATGATCTGAGACAGGTTAGGTGGTTTGCCCAAGGCCATACAACTAATAAATGCCATCTCCATTTATTAGTTGTATTTGGCTCAAACTCTTCATCTGTCTTATGATCCCATTTGCAGAGATCTCTCACTTGGTTATAGATAATACATAGTTACCAATGATAATGCAATATAAGCCCTGTTTCCTAATTTGTAAAATGGGAATAATAAAACTACTTGCTGTATAGAGTTGCTGGGAAGATTAAATCAGTCAATATAGATGTAAAGTGCTTGGAACTGGCCGGGCGCAGTGGCTCATGCCTGTAATCCCAGCACTTTGGGAGGCCGAGGCGAGTGGATCATGAGGTCAGGAGTTTGAGACCAGCCTGGCTGATGTGGTGAAACCCCATCTCTACTAAAAATACAAAAATTAGCCGGGTGTGGTGGCAGGCACCTGTAATCTCAGCTACTCAGGAGGCTGAGGCAGAGAATTGCTTGAACCCGGGAAGTGGAGGTTGCAGTGAGCCGAGATCACGCCACCGCACTCCAGCCTGGGCAACAAGAATGAAACTCCATCTCAAAAAAAAAAAAAAAGTGCTTAGAACTATGCCAGGCATGTGGTAAGTGACAGAGTTGGCTATTGGGATTTTCAAAAATTATTATATATTTAAAACTTGAAAAAAACCCACTGAGTTTGGAGCCAGAAAAGCAGGGGTCTACTCCGAGCTTCATTATTTACTTCCTGGTTCTCCTCGGCAAGTCCCTGAGCCCTCCGGGCCTCAGTGGCTCATCTTTAAAATAGGCTCTTCACCCTCCTGTTTGACCCACAGAGTAGTAGTGGTTGTATGTTGCTTAGCCCTGCACAGCTTCTGAGTGTGAGCGGCATATTTGCCTGATACTCCTTCTTGTCCATAGTGGAGGCGGGATGTGGTGACAGAGACCAAGACTGTGGAGCTGGTGATTGTGGCTGATCACTCGGAGGTGAGCCTGTTGGCCCCTGCACATCCTCCTCCACCCTGCACCGCCCCGCCGCCTTGCACATCACCTCTCTCGGCCTACAGGTCCAGAGATACCGGGACTTCCAGCGCCTGCTGAACCGCACACTGGAAGTGGCCCTCTTGCTAGACACAGTGAGTGCTGGACAGGGCGGCAGCTCCCGGCCCCCTGACTGTGGCAACCCCTCTTCTGAGCACCAGCTCTCTTTCAGTTCTTCCGTCCCCTGAATGTACGAGTGGTGCTAGTGGCCCTGGAGGCCTGGACCCAGCATGACCTGGTGGAGATCAGCTCAAACCCAGCTGTCACCCTCGAAAACTTCCTCAACTGGCGCAGAACAGATTTGCTGCCTCGATTGCCCCACGACAGTGCCCAGCTGGTGACGTAAGGGCCCTAGACTCAGCCAGAGGGACCAGTCCTGTCCTGGCCAAATTCACACCCCTTCAGTGCCCTACTCAGCCCCTGAAGCTCTGACCACAGTGGCTCCTGGCCCTGAACTTTGGCCTCCCTGTCCCACAGTGGCACTTCATTCTCTGGGCCTATGGTGGGCATGGCCATTCAGAACTCCATCTGCTCTCCTGACTTCTCAGGAGGCGTGAACATGGTGAGTTATTTCCAGGTCTCCTCCTCATTCCCAATTCAGTTCCTCCCAAGTGTGGTGGCATTTATTGACTGAAACCCCTCTACAAAGTTGCCCAACCACAAAGCTGCGGGTATAGAGGGTGGAGGTGCGTGATGTGGCCTGTGCTTTCAGGGAGCCCTCGCTTGTGGCCAGTTTGTCACAGTGTACACAGCCATCTCCTGTGCAGTCTTCCCATTTCTTGGAGGATAGGACGCAGCTGAGGCCCAAAGAACAGGGGTGATCTCCAAGGGCCATGCAGGGAGAGAGGGGGACAGAGCTGAGCTAGAACCCAGGTTTCCTGCCACCCAGGCCTGGGTTCTCCTACTTCAGAAGCAATTCAGGAGGCAGGCGGTGCTGCTGAGTGCCCATGAGGTCAGATGAGGAGGGAACAGGAGCAGACAGGGTGGGCTGGGCACTGTGGTGGAGGCAGGCTGGGACTGGACCTGGGGTATCCCTCCCCAATGACAGGACCACTCCACCAGCACCCTGGGAGTCGCCTCCTCCATAGCCCATGAGCTGGGCCACAGCCTGGGCCTGAACCATGATTCTCCTGGGAACAGCTGTCCCTGTCCAGGTCCAGCCCCAGCCAAGACCTGCATCATGGAGGCCTCCACAGAGTGAGTAGCTGCAGGATGTGGGGTGGTCAAGGAGCAAGGAGAAGCTCCCAGCCCCAACCTTCTTTGCCACCCTCCCCAGCTTCCTGCCAGGCCTGAACTTCAGCAACTGCAGCCGACAGGCCCTGGAAAAAGCCCTTCTGGATGGAATGGGCAGCTGCCTCTTCGAACGGCTGCCCAGCCTGCCCTCTATGGCTGCTTTCTGCGGAAATATGTTTGTGGAGTCGGGCGAGCAGTGTGACTGTGGCTTCCCGGATGTGAGCCCCTTGTCCACAACCTTGCCCCACTCACTTCTGTGCCCTCACCCCGGCTCATGAGCCCTCTCCCAGCCTCCTGAGCTCCTCTTGAGTTCTGAAGGGACTTCCCAGCCCTCTCCTACTTGCCCTGTCTGTGGGGACAGCACAGAGGTTGCTGGCTGTAGCTCCCGCTTGCTGTGTAGCCCTGGGCTTCCTTCTGGCCTTGGCCTGTGGGAGGGGAGGGATTGGAGGGAAGCTCACAGGAGGCGCCTGCTGATGCTCAGCCCGTGTGCCCGCCCACAGGACTGCACTGATCCCTGCTGTGATTCTTCAACCTGCAAGCTGAGGCCGGGGGCACAGTGTGCATCCGATGGACCCTGTTGTCAAAATTGCCAGGTGGGTAGAGACTAGACTGGCCACCGAGAGCTCACCTGCCGGGGCCAAGGTGGAAAGGGTCGTTCTGACCCCCTGGCTGGGTTTACCCATTGCCCACACTAATGCTCATCCACCCTCCACAGCTGCGCCCGTCTGGCTGGCAGTGTCGTCCTACCAGAGGGGACTGTGACTTGCCTGAATTCTGCCCAGGAAACAGCTCCCAGTGTCCCCCTGATGTCAGCCTAGGGGATGGCGAGCCCTGCGCTGGTGGGCAAGCTGTGTGCATGCACGGGCGCTGTGCCTCCTATGCCCAGCAGTGCCAGTCACTCTGGGGACCTGGGGCTCAGCCCGCTGCACCACTTTGCCTCCAGACAGCCAACACGCGGGGAAATGCTTTTGGGAGCTGTGGGCGCAAGCCCAGTGGCAGCTACGAGTCCTGCAGCCCTAGGCAAGTGAGGAAACCTGGCTCCTCCTTTGGGTTTCTGTCAGCCTTGGCCCTGCTCCTACTGACTCTGTGTGCCCTTCCCCCTCCCCCCAGAGATGCCATTTGTGGGCAGCTCCAGTGCCAGACAGATAGCACCCAGCCTTTGCTGGGCTCCATCCACGCTCTAATCTGGGAGATAATAGATGTGAACGGGACTGAGCTGAACTGCAGCTGGGTGCACCTGGACCTGGGCGACGATGTGGCCCAACCTCTCCTGACTCTGCCAGGCACAGCTTGTGGCCCTGGCCTGGTGAGCATCCTGGGTGGGCAAGACCAGGTGTGAGAAGGGACGTTTGGACCACAGTGAACAGTGCCCAGTCTTCACCATTCACCAATATAAAAGGCAGGGACTCCAAGGGAAGTCAGTTTCTTACTTCAGATGGAGCAAAATCCTATCAACCCACTCAGCCTTGGTTTCCCCATCTGTAAATGCAGAGTGTGGCCTCAACTTTGTTGGCCTCCCAGTTCCATTAAAGCTCTGTGGGAATCTGATCTATGCTGTTTTCTCCCCCACCCGGGTCAGGTATGCATAGACCATCGATGCCAGCCTGTGGATCTCCTGGGGGCACAGGAATGTCGAAGCAAATGCCATGGACATGGGGTAAGCTGGGATGGGGGAAGTGGAAGAGAAGCAGGGAGCCTCTGGAAGGGAAAAGGAAGCTGGGCTTTGGAAACAGACATATCTGGGTTCTAATCCCTGCTCCACGACTTCCTCGTTGTGTGACCTGGGGCAGGTTACTAACTTCGCTGAGCTCAGTTTCGCCACCTATCAAATGACTGTAATAGTAATATCTGCCTACTGGAGTACATAAGATGAGTATGAGAGCATCTAGCACAGGCTGGGCATGGTGGCTCACGCCTGTGATCCCAGTATTGTTTTTGTTTTTTTGAGACAGAGGCTCGCTCTGTTACCCAGGCTGGAGTGCAGTGGCACAATCTCGGCTCAAACGTTTCTCATGTCTCAGCCTCCTGAGTAGCTGGGATTACAGGCATGCAGCACCACACCCAGCTAACTTTTGTATTTTCAGTAGAGGTGGGTTTCACTATGTTGGCCAGGCTGGTCTCGAACTCCTGTGAGGTAAGTGATCCGCCTGCCTTGGCCTCCCAAAGTGCTGGGATTACAGGCGTGAGCCACTGCACCCGGCCAAATCGCAGGATTTGGAAGGCCAAGTCAGGAGGATCACTTGAGGCAAGGAGTTCAAAACCAGTCTAGTCAACATAGTCAGATCCCATCTCTATCAAGGAAAAATGTAAAAATTAGTCAGGCATAGTAGTGCACACCTGTGGTCCTAGCTACTTGGAAGGCTGAGGCAGGAGGATTGCTTGAGCCCAGGAGTTTGGGGCTGCAGTGAGCCATAATTGCACCACTGCACTCCAGCCTGGGCAACAGAGTGAGACTCTGTCTTACTTGCTGTCTAAAATTAAAAAATTAAATTGAATTAAATTAAAGAAAGGAAGCATATAGCACAGTGTCCAGCACAGAGGAGGTGCTCAGTAAGTGTTAGTTTGATCTGATTTGCTCCAGTGTGGATAAAGACCCTCTCTGGTCTCTACACATCATACCCAGCACAACCTCCAGTTGTAGAAATCCGAGATCTTGAGAAGCTGGAGATAAAGAGACAGTTCCAGAGTGCAGGGCTCCTCATTGCTCTCCTTCCATCTCCTAGGTCTGTGACAGCAACAGGCACTGCCACTGTGAGGAGGGCTGGACGCCCCCTGACTGCACCACTCAGCTCAAAGGTAGCATGGGGGTGGGGGAGAGGGGCAGCTGGGAGGGCAGAGCGGTTCACGCTTTATCTTTCCCCCTTGACCCTCTCTTTCTGACCCCTCTTTGCTGCTGGTTCCCTGAGTCTGTGCCCCTTGACCTCTTCACTCTCCCTGATCACTTAATTTCACTCCCTGCACCCTGCTCCTTCATGGGTCTAGAGTTCTTAGCCCTGCCCTCTTTTTTTTTTTTTTTTTTTTTGAGACGGAGTTTCACTCATGTTACCCAGGCGGGAGTGCAATGGCGCGATCTCGGCTCACCGCAATCTCCGCCTCCTGGGTTCAGGCAATTCTCCTGCCTCAGCCTCCTGAGTAGCTGGGATTACAGGCACGCGCCACCATGCCCAGCTAATGTTTTGTATTTTTAGTAGAGACGGGGTTTCACCATGTTGACCAGGATGGTCTCGATCTCTTGACCTCATGATCCACCCGCCTCGGCCTCCCAAAGTGCTGGGATTACAGGCTTGAGCCACCGCGCCCGGCCCTCTTTTGTTTTTTTTTTGTTTGCTTGTTTGTTTTTTTGAGACGGAGTCTTGCTCTGTCACCCAGGCTCACTGCAACATCTGCCTCCAGTTCACTTGATTCTCCTGTCTCAGCCTCCTGTGTAGCTGGGATTACAGGCACCCACCACCGCACCCGACTAATTTTTGTATTTTTAGTAAAGATGGGGTTTTACCATCTTGGCCAGGCTGGTCTCAAAATTCTGACGTCATGATCCACCTGCCTCAGCCTCCCAAAGTGCTGGGATTATAGGCGTGAGCCACCGTACCCAGCTAGCCCTACCTCCTTTAAACCTGACTTCCACCCACAGCAACCAGCTCCCTGACCACAGGGCTACTCCTCAGCCTCTTGGTGTTACTGGTCCTGGTGATGCTTGGTGCCAGCTACTGGTACCGTGCTCGCCTGCACCAGCGACTCTGCCAGCTCAAGGGACCCACCTGCCAATACAGGTATGAGCATCACCTCCTTGCTACCACTTCTTTCAACTTGGGACAGTGCTGAAGCCTGCCTCACCTCTGTAGCCCCTGCCACCTGGTTTTGAGCCCCAAGCCCCTTGGACCTTAAACTTGCTAACTGCCACAGCCCCACACCTTCCTTCCCTATACGTGCCCACAGCTCTTCACCTCACAGCTGTGCCCCTGTGGGATGGCTGGAGTGCTATGGCCATTTATCCCCAGGGCCCCTATGCTGGATAAGCCGGGCCTTCCCTCAGCTAATCAACCCCTCCACTGCACAATTTTACCTAAATCACACACAAGTACCTGCAAAGGGATAATGCCACTCAAGGATGGCATAAGGTAGAGAACAGGGTCTGAGCCTGGGCCCTCTCCCTCCTTGCCTTTCCTCATGCTTAGGGCAGCCCAATCTGGCCCCCCTGAAAGGCCAGGACCTCCGCAGAGGGCCCTGCTGGCTCAAGGCACTAAGGTGAGTCCCGGATGCCAGAGGAAGGGGACTGTAGCTTGGCCGGGCAGCCAGCTTGTGCCCTGAGGGGTAGGCATTAGAGGCTCCAGACTCAGAGAAAGGCTAGCACTGCCCAAGAGTCAGTCGAAGGAGTCAGGGCCAGCCCTTCCCTTCCCTTCCCTCCCCACCCCTGGCTACAGGCAGAGAAGCTGAGTCCAGAAGAGTGGGGAGGGCAGCCAGCTGGAGCAGGGGCTGCTGGGCTCCGTCCACTGGCTGAGAGGTGGCTTTGAGAGGTGGGTCTATCCATGCCCCCGGCAGAAACCCCAGAAGGGTACAAGGGCGGTGTTGCTCAGAATGGCCTTCCGTGGGCCCAGATCACCATATTAGAAGGGCTGGTGAGCACCCCCGCCCTGAGCCCTCTGCTCGGATGATGGGAGTGTGTGCATGCCCTGTCCACTTGCCCCCCACCTGCATGCACCTGCATAACTGCATGCATACTGCCCACTCCCCGGGCCCTGCCGGCCCTCCCTGGGCACTGACCCTTCTCTGCCCACTCTGTCTCTCTGCTTCCTCTTTCCCCTCTGTGCCTGTCTGCCCCTCCTACCCTCTCAGCAGGCTAACGCTCTCGGCTTCCCGGCCCCCCCTTCCAGGGCGCTGCCGCCTGACCCTGTGCCCAAGAGACTCCAGGTAAATCTGGGCCAGGCCCCGCCCTGAGCTAAGGCAGGTGGGAGGCTTGATACCCAACTGCAGTTCTCATCCCTGCTCCCTGCCAGTGGTGCTCTTCATTAGGTGATCGGGGTGCCCCTCAGCCTTCAGACACTCTGAGCCCCAGCAGCAGCAAAGGGTGAGCCTCCTGCCTTGGCTTCTACCGCTATCTGGTGGTCAGTGGCGGGACTGCAATTGGCCAGGGCCTCCGCGGTTGACCTACACCTTCCTCCCCTGAGACATCAGCTGGCATGCCTCCAAGCCCTCTGCGCATGCCCTCATTCTCTCCTGCCCCCTGGCTGACTTTGCATGTTGACTTGAACCCCTCCGGGGAATCTCTTTGCATGCCTACTGCCCCTGGCTATGCTCTCACAGCCACCGCCCCTCTCTCTGTTCAGGCTGAGCTGGCTGACCGACCCAATCCCCCTACCCGCCCTCTGCCCGCTGACCCGGTGGTGAGGAGCCCCAAGGTAACGGTGCGGGGAGAGAAGGGTACAGACTCTCCCCCCACCTAGGGCTGTGGTGCTGGTAGCCATGACGGTGGTGGCAGTGGCGAGATGTCCCCTCAGTGTATGAGGGCACATATCCCAGTGGTGCCTTTAATGGTGACAGGTTTGTTTGCAGGCAGAGGTGACCTCTGGTGCTGCCCCCAAGCTGGTGTTTCCCAGCACCAGTGCGTTGGGCGTGGGTATCATGAAACCCCCCCACACCCAAGCCGGCCTCCTGACTTCTCTCCCTCAGTCTCAGGGGCCTTCCAAGCCCCCACCCCCGAGGAAGCCACTGCCTGCTGACCCCCAGGGCCGGTGCCCATCGAGTGACCCGTCTGGCCCAGGAGCTGGAATCCCGCCCCTAGTGGTACCCTCCAGGTAGGCAAGGAGGAGCTCTGGAGATGGGTGGGTGGGGCCAGTGATCCAGGGGAAGGGACCTCTGACCCTTTTTTCTCTGCTTCCCGCATTCCAGACCAGCGCCGCCACCTCCAACAATGTCCTTGCTCTACCTCTGACCTCCCTGGAGGTTCCGCTGCCTCCAAACTGGATTTAGGATTTCAAGAGGCGGGTGTGCCCTCTGGAGTCCCTTACCATGACTGAAGGAGCCAGAGACTGGACGCGGTCCGCACCGTCACGCGCTGTGAAGCAGCACTCTGGCGACCTGCCCGCGTAGTTGCAGCTGGGGCTTGGGGAGGGGCTGGGGGTTGGACAGGGCTGAGGGAGGTGCGCACAGCCTGTCTCTGCTCAGCTGCAATAAACGAGACATCTTGGGAGAGTTCCTTGGAGTTTGTCTGCTCCTAGAAGCCGGGTCGCTCCTGCTGCGGTTCCAGGTCTGGCCGCCAGGAGACGCTGCCGCCTCAGACGAGGGAGGGCTGTTGTGGGCGGGAGTACCAGAATAGGTCGGCGTGTGTCCCCGGGATGCTCGCGGCTTACCTCTGCCCAGACTGGGGTGGCTCTCGGCGCAATCTGTCAAGCTGTTGGACCTGCCATCCCCGCTCTGACCATTTGCTGAGAAAAGTGGATCTGGCAGATGTTCTCAAAGCCCCGGAGCCAGGGCGGAGCGGGGCGGCGGCTCCCACGATCCCAAGGCCGCGCACCTGCCTCCTCCCTCTCCGCCGCCGCCACCTCAGGGATCGGGAACAAAGGTGCTTTGTACAGGCCGCAACCACCTCATTACTTCGTCTTCGGGACTGGGGCTGCTTGGGCCCCCAGCCCAGAACGAAGGTGTGGGGCGGCAAAGGACAAACGCCAATCCCAAAGTGAGCATCCTAGCGCGTCACCTAAGGCTCTTTAGAGAAGGTGGTCCCAAAAGCTGTGTTGTCCCTTACGCTCGTACTAGCCCTAGATCTGCAAAGAAAACGGGGCAGTGTATGAAGGTGGTTGGATAGGGTTCACGGATCCTCGTTCACGCCTCACTTTCCCCTATCTGGGCAAAGGTTATGTGTCCTTATGTAAAATCTTCCAAACTTCTAATAAGGCAATCTACCCTGCACTAAAGCAGACACGAAAGCATGACCTCCCTATAAACACTGCGGATGGAATACGCCCTTCCTTGCAGTGCGGTGCAGCCTCAGCGGAAGCTTAGGCGAACCCGGCGCGCACTGCGGCGCACAGAGGGTTAACTGGAGTTGGCGCTGGGTGGAGAGAAGGAGACGCGCTCCCATTGGCGGAAAGTTATCCAGGGGCGGGTCTGTGAATCCGCGCACCCCACCCCCCTTTCCACAACCCCCCACTTCACTTTGTACCTTTCTCGCCTCGACTGTGAGGCAGGCCGGGACCTGCCGGGCCAGACCAGACCGGACCTCGGGGGCGATGCGGCTGCTGCCCCTGCTGCGGACTGTCCTCTGGGCCACGTTCCTCGGCTCCCCTCTGCGCGGGGGCTCCAGCCTTCGCCACGTCGTCTACTGGAACTCCAGTAACCCCAGGTAGCCGGGCCGAACCGGGCGTGCGCCTAGCTAAGACTGCGCGCTCCTGGGCTTTGCGCGCGCTCGCCATTCGCTCTTTGCGCGGCGCCGCCTGAGCCTGGCCGCGCGCCGGGGCTCCTTTGTTTGAGCCGGCGGGGGAGGGGGGAGGGGGGAGGGGCGAGGCGCTCCCTGGGTCTCCCCACAGCCGTTTTGTGTTGGGGGGCAGGCAGAAGACCCTCAGCCCCGTGGGTTGCCTAAGGGGTCTTGGAGCTGGGGGGTCTTTGCCCTCACTCTGGGCTCCGCCCCCCTCGCTGCACTCCTGGCGATCCCCAGCCTCCAGCCGGCTGGAGCTGGGGCGGACGAACTTGAGAGCGAGGGAGGGGGCTTTACTCTTGCGATAGAGCATGGGTTACTCTCTTGCCCGTTGGGTCTCACCTCTGGCTCTCGCTCTGTCTCCTGATCTCATTTGCTATCTCTGCTTTCATCTCTGTCTTTACTGGTCCTCTGTTTCTTTCCAGTGTCAGCCCTGCCCTTCTAGTTGAATCGCCTCTGGGCAAGTCTCCTGACCTTGCTAACCTCATTTATCTCACCTGTATAATGGGCTAATAATACCTAGTACCCTGGGAAATCCGGCGGGGTAAGTGAGGTCATGTATGTAGAGGAGGTGCAGGGTGTGCAGATATAAATTATTCTTTCTCTCTCCTGAGCTGCCTGCCTTTGAACCTCACTCTATTTTCCTGTTTCCATCCCCCTCCCCAAATCTCCCTGCCTCTCTTCTGTTTCCCATCTGTTTTCCTTTCTGATTTTCTACTTGAGACAATCTGTGACTCTATTCATTTGTTCACTCACTAACATTTAAACACAAACTGTGTGCCCGGCCCTGTGCTAGGTTGCAGGGGATGCCACTATATAGATGAGAAGATCAAGACCCTGCCCTCTGGGATTCCACAGACTCCGGAGAGCCTGCGTAAAGACAGGTCATTACAATACCAATACCAAGTGATGAGAGCTATTGTTGTCCTTGGACCCTGAATTCCTCTATCTCTGTTACAGACCAGTGCCTCTGAATCACTGTTAAAATGCAGGTTTCTCACCCCCAATCTTAAGGTTTCTGACTCATTCATTCAATCCACAAATATTTATGAAGACTGTCTTGTGGTGGGCACTTTTCCAGGCACTGGGGATGCGGTGGAACAGAACTTACCAAGGCCCTGTCCTCGCTCAGCTTGCGTTCTATGTCTGGGCTGACTCAGCCCAGGAATCTTCATTTCTCATCAGAACTGCTACAGGTGGTCCTTGGACCACCCATTGGAGGCCTCTCCTAAGTCACGCTTCACTGTGTTTATGGTATGGGTGGTGGATCATGCAGCTTTCTGTACAGTGGGGAGCAGCCCGTTCTAGCCCTTCCCTCCTGTGCTGGCTTCCCCAGGCAACTCCCAAGAGGTGGGGGAGTCCCAAGAAGACTGAAGACTGAGTGGTGTGTGGACTCCCTGCCATGCCTGGCACTTCCTCCTCCTGGCCAAAAAAGGGAGGCACCTGGCACCCACTCCTTCATTTTTTTTTTTTAATTTTTAGAATTTATTCATTTAGAGACCGGGTCTTGCTCTGTCACCCAGGCTGGAGTACAGTTTCATGATTAATAGCTCACTACAGCCTCAAATTCATGGGCTCAAAGGATCCTCCCGCCTCAGCCTCCCAAATAGCTGGGACTACAGGAGTACACCACCACTCATGGCTTTTATTTATTTATGGTAGAGACAATCTCACCATGGTGCCCGGGCTGGTCTTGAACTCCTGGCCTCAAGCAACCCCCCTGCCTCGGCCTCCCAAAGTGCCAGGATTCAGATGTGAACCATTGCACGTGGCCTCTCTCATTCTTTTTTTTCCTTTTCTTTTTTTTTTTTTTTTTTTCTTTTCACTTTTGGGTTGAAGTCTAAAGGATACTGTTCCTCACTTTATGTCTGTGTTTGAGGAGACCTTTCCCAGCCCTTGTCTGCACCTGTGTCTGCAGCCACACTGTGGGTCATGTCCATATCTGTACCTCCTTGCCTCCCTGCCCAGCGTCTTCACAGCATCCATCCACCTGAGGTTGGTCAAGCCTGGTGCTGTACCACACCGAGCGTTGGGCACCGGGGCCAGAGAGGTGTGTGGCAGCCTGAAACACAGGGCGTGGTGACCCTCCTCGCATCTAAGCTGTGTGGTTATGGGCACTGCAGGCCTCAGCCTCTCAGAACCTGTGAATCAATCATCTCATCCATTTGTCACACTCTGTCTCTTAAGAGCTGTCAGTCTGGGGACCTCCAGCCTTCCTGAGCTTCTCTGTCGCTCATGGGCTGGCAGGGGCCTCTGAGAAGGGGTGTCTCTGGCCTCCATGGCCCAGCCATGTGGTGCCCTCCCCTCCTCAGCCCACTCCTGCCTTATGCCTGCAGGCTGCTTCGAGGAGACGCCGTGGTGGAGCTGGGCCTCAACGATTACCTAGACATTGTCTGCCCCCACTACGAAGGCCCAGGACCCCCTGAGGGCCCTGAGACATTTGCTTTATACATGGTGGACAGGCCAGGCTATGAGGCCTGCCAGGCAGAGGGGCCCCGGGCCTACAAGCGCTGGGTATGCTCCCTGCCCTTCGGCCACGTCCAATTCTCAGAGAAGATTCAACGCTTCACACCCTTCTCCCTGGGCTTTGAGTTCTTGCCTGGAGAGACTTACTACTACATCTGTGAGTGGCCAAGGGCATGCTGGACACCTCCTGGGAAGGGTGGGGAGGGGGAAGGAGAGGCCTGGGAAGAGGAGGGGGCTGGTCTCTAATGGACATGGAGGGCGGGCTGAACTCAGGACTGAGGAGGGAAATGTCTAGAGACGAGAAAGTAGGAGTGAGGAAAGGGGCCGGGAGGTGAGAGGCCTGGATGGGGCGGATACATGGTTGTGGCCCCAAAGTAAGGAAATGCTTTCCAGGGACCCGGAGGGAAGAAAAGCTGGGAGGGTCTGAAACAGTCTAAGCCATACAAAGGGGTGACTCCCTGTGCTAACTTCTTCCCAATTTCCCACTACCCAGCGGTGCCCACTCCAGAGAGTTCTGGCCAGTGCTTGAGGCTCCAGGTGTCTGTCTGCTGCAAGGAGAGGAGTAAGTGGGTTAGGGCATGGACCCTACTGGCTAATTTGGGGCCCTGGAAAGGAGGGAAGGAGCGAGAAGAATCTGGGAGCATCAGACCACAAGGGTACCGGAGAAGCTTCAAGCTGTGACCTCTTCTCCCCAGTTAGCCTTGTGGGAGCTTCCACTGCACCACTGTCCCCCAACTTTTTTTTTTAAGAGAAAGAGTCACTGGGCATAGTGGCTCATGCCTGTAATCCCAGCACTTTGGGAGGCCGAGGCAGGTGGATCACCTGAGGTGAGGAGTTCGAGACCAACCTGACTAGCATGGTGAAACCCTGTCTCTACTAAAAATACAAAAAATTAGCCGGAAGTGGTGGCACATGCCTGTAATTCCAGCTACTTGGGAGGCTGAGGCAGGAGAATTGCTTGAACCTGGGAGGGGTTACAGTGAGCCGAGATCACGCCATTGCACTCCAGCCTGGGCAACAAGAGTGAAACTCCTCAAAAAAAAGAAAAGAGACAAGGCCTTGCTGTATTGCCCAGGCTGGAGTGCAGTGGCAGGATCATAGCTCACTGCAGCCTCAAACTCCTGGGGTCAAGTGATCCTCCTGCCTCAGCTTCTCCAGTAGCTGGGATTACAGGCCTATGCCACCACGACTCGCTAAATTATTTTTTATTTTTTGTAAAGATGGGATATCACTGTGTTGTCCAGGCTGGTCTCGAACTCCTGACCTCAAGAGAGTCTCCTGCCTCCCAAAGCATTGGGATTACAGGCGTGAGCCA